TAATGCAAATATGCAAGATATCAGTTATCAAGCAACTAAGTAAAATCTCAACAGAAACAATGTAACAGCTGTCTTGTCTTGGCTATATTAATGTTTAGTTATGGTACATCATTTTTTGCCAAAGTCTTCCGGTTTTAAAGAAACCGAGAAACAAGAGAGTGTTCCTCGGAATAGTGGCAGAAACGTGTGCTGAGATGGTTTATGGAGAAAGCTGGATGATCAATTGATCACCCTAACCTTCTAGCGGACTTGGAAGGTCTGTCTTAGGTTGCTTGACGCCAAAACATGAAACTGTGAAACGATATATACACTCACATGTAAATTGGGATAATCTTGCGTTAGATAATTTTACAATTTTCCAAAACTATCTTTCACATTATTATCTTATCATATATCTTACGTTAGATAATTTACACGACGCCATAATGCAGGCACAAGCCTATTCTAGAGACACCACGCGTATGCCACAAGCCAAGTCTTCTCTTTCCACGTGTCAAACAAAACATAAAACCACGTATCCCCTCCCTACGCCATCGCCGTCTCTTATAACCTACCGTTTTTGCTAGCTCCGAGGTTTTACATAGAACTTTTCATCTTATCCTCTAACTCTTTCTATCGCTCTCTAGATCTTAACTAAGAAAACCATGTTGCTTAAGGCCTCTCCCGCTTTTTCTATCTTGACCTCCGGCGTTGGAGATCGATTTCCTTCAATTAAGTGCCGTGAATCTAGGCTTCTTGTTCGGGCGGCGAAAGGAACGAGCACCAAGTCGTTAACGGGAGTTGTGTTCGAGCCTTTTGAGGAAGTTAAGAAAGACATGGATCTGCTCGTTCCCACAACTCCTTTAGCTTCTCTCGCACGCCACAAGTTCGCAGACGAGTCTGAATCTGCGGTTAACGAACAGATCAAGTAACTGCCCTTGTTTTAGTTTTTTTCTTAATCCGTCTCTAACGTTAAGAATGTTCTTATATGTGTCTGAATCTCAACATATATTTATTTGTGTTACAAATTGTGGAACACAGTGTGGAGTACAATGTGTCCTACATCTATCATGCTTTGTATGCATACTTTGACAGAGATAATGTTGGTTTGAAAGGTTTCGCCAAGTGAGTTTCTTTAATCTTAAGAATTATATTTGTCCTTTCTGTGGGGGTGATCATCTTTGTGTTGTTGTGTTTTGTTGGTTTCACTGATAGTTTCTTCAAAGATTCGTCTGTTGAAGAACGAGGTCACGCTGAGAAGTTTATGGAGTACCAGGTATAGTTTCAAAAAATTTAACAGGTTACCATATGGGGACCTTTAATAGTGTTTGATGGATTTGGTCTTCAGAACAAACGTGGTGGGAGAGTGAAGCTACAGTCTATTTTGATGCCATTCTCTGAGTTTGATCACGAGGAGAAGGGTGATGCCTTGTATGGTATGTTGTAGCAGAAATTTTGATTAATCATTAAGTAGAGCCTTGTGTATATATAGCTATGCACTTGATGATTGTGACTTTTTTTTTAATTAATAAGCTATGGAGCTTGCACTATCTTTGGAGAAACTTACAAATGAAAAGCTTCTCAAGTTGCAAAGTGTAAGATGTTTTTCATTTTTCCTTCAATTGTTTGATTATTAAGTACTATCTGTTTTAGCCTTGAGACAAGAAAAAACAGATGATTATGATTTTCACCTCTCTTGTGTTTGATTACTACAGGTTGGTGTGAAAAACAACGATGTTCAGCTAGTTGATTTTGTCGAATCTGAGTTTCTAGGAGAGCAGGTACAGAAACCACACAAAAGTTTGTACATTAATCTTTACTTGGAAAGTAATCTTTAAGTAGAAAGTACGTGATCGTCTCATAAAATTGTAAAAACAGGTGGAAGCTATCAAGAAAATCTCAGAGTACGTTGCCCAGCTAAGAAGAATTGGAAAGGGTCATGGTACGTCCCTTAAATCTCTTCAAGATCATCTTTAATAAAATTACATTTTCACTTTCTTCTACGGGTGTTTGATTAAATAATTGGTGCAGGGGTGTGGCATTTTGACCAAATGCTTCTGGATGACCAAGCGCTTGTGCATGGGGGTTAAAAGAAGAAGGGCTGCATGCAGCTCTTGATGATTCTGATTTGGTGATGATGTTTTCCTTGTGCTATACGGCACTGTTCTATCTTTTTTATAACGAGGTCTTTATGGGATAATATTGTACTAGTTTTCCTTTCTTTCTTTTCTCTATGTTTGTGTAACCATAGGGGCGTGACTGTTAATAATGTAAGTCTTAGTCTGAGAATAAATGCAAGTCCATTGCTTTAATGCGAGTGACGCTACAATTAGAACTTTTGACATGGCACTAGAACAAAAGACTCTTGATTCTCTTAAAGCAACTACCTAGGGACTAAACCTATCAAACAGAGAAAAAAATGAATACGAAACGGCATAAGAAGTTTAAGCTTTGTAGTAGTAGTAAATATTAAGCTAAAGAAAGCTCGCTCTCAAGACAATGGCAAATGCTTCAGCTTCATCACCTATCAATCCACACTTTTTCCAGCCTCTTCTTCCCGGTTTTCAAAGCCACCTTGTAATCTCTTTCACTCTCTGTATATGTATCTGAACGTGCATGAGTCTGTTTGTCTAAATCTATTTTGTTGCAGAACATTCCCATAGCGTTCTACTCAAAGCACATTAAGGGAACAACCAACGAGGGCAATGCCAATACTGTGGTAAAACTAAGATCAGACGCTTCTGATTTAACCTGGGAAGTGAAGATAAACGGTTGTAGACTCACTCAAGGCTGGGAAGAGTTCACCACCAGCCATGATCTCCGGGTCGGTGACATAGTCATCTTTAGACATGATGGAGATTCGTTGTTCCATGTCACAACTTTTGGTCCCAGTTGCTGTGAGATACAATACAATGACGATGATGGTGATGTCTTTCAAATATCCTCTGGTACGATCTCAAGTACTTTGAACATGGTTGACTCTAAGATTCTGTTTAAATTCTCATTTCCATGTTGAAACAGTTTCAGATTCAGAGATGAATCAAGAAACAAGAGAAGCAGTCTCTCCATCAGATAAATCTTGTTTTGTAGCTCGTCTCACCCCGTCTAATCTAAGAACAGATAGACTGGTGAAATTTTGCTTCTGCATTTGATATACTTCTCCATATAACCATAAAGATTTTTGAATCTGAATAATTTATTTACTCTGTGATAACCTTTACAGTATCTTCCAAGAGGCTTTTCAAGGTCTAATGGTTTGATGAATCGTGAGTGCGAGATCATACTGTTGAATGAGAATGGGAAACCATGGACTGCGTTGCTGAACTACTACAAAACAACGGGTGATGTTTACCTCAGACGTGGCTGGAGAAACTTCTGCCATGAAAACCAGAAAAGAGCTAATGGTTTATTGACTTTCAAGCTTGTGCAAGCAGATACAAAACCTGTTCTTCAGGTGTGTTCGTCCATGTACAACCGAGACTGTAGCCAAGACAGATTCTTGACACTAACTCTCACACATTACAATTTCAAGAGGGGTAAACTGGTGAGTGAGTAAGTTTTAATTTCATCAGTCATTATTAATAATGTTTTCAAGATTGTATTGCTGTAATGTTTTCGAGTCTATATTGGCAGTGTCTACCAGCGAAATTTTTGAAGGCGAATGGTGTCACAAGCGCAAGGAAGATAGTTCTTGTGGATAGATACGGTGTGAAAAGGACAACTAGTCTTAAACCTGAGAACAACTATGGAAGAATGAGAGTGGGAACCGGGGCTTCTAGCTCTAGTGGTAAAGGGCTTACAGCTGTGAGTACCGCCACCTGGGTTCGAATCCCGGCCACTGGGGAATTAACATTTCGGCATCGCCAGGGACAGAGGACCGACACGTGGCAACACGTGGCTAGTCTGGACCACTTATGTGGGGCCAGGATACCTCTGTATAATTCAAAAAAAAAGAATGAGAGTGGGAAAAGAGTGGAGAGAGTTCTGTGAAGCTAATGGAGTTAAGGCTGGTGAGTCATGTAAGCTGGAACTCATCAAGGAAGAAGAAGACACAGCTACTCATCTGCTTAAGTTCTGCAACAAAGTCTAAAACTCTCTCTGAGTTTGTTTTTTTGCTTATGTAATATCTACTTGCAATGTGTATGGTTTTCTTGTCTGGTTTGTTAACATGCAAGGGTGGATAATAGTAGTTTTTTTTGTTTTTTTTTGGAATTGTGGATAATTGTGGATATAGTTATTTTCAGACATGATGGAGATTTATTGTTCCATGTCACGTCTTTTGGACCTAGTTGCTGTCAGATTCTATATGACGATGATGATGATGTCATACAAATATCCACTGGTAAGTACTTTAAACTTAAATTGACTTATGTTATAGATTCCTATTTTGTAAAGTTGAAACAGATTCAGATTCGGAGAAGTATCAAGACACTAGAGCATCAGATAACTCTTGTTTTGTAGCTCGTGTCACCTCGTCGAATCTAAGTACAGATACGCTGGTGAAAAAAATATTTTGCTTCTGCTTTTGCATTTATTTCTATAAAAACCATAAACCTAAGAGGACAGACATTTTTGAATCTTACTCTCTAATAAACTTTGCAGTTTCTACCAATAGACTTTTCAAGGTCTAATGGTTTTATGGATCGTAAGTGCGAGATCATCCTATTGAATGAAGATGGGAAACCATGGAAACTGTTCCTGACTAACCATAAAACGCATGGTCGTGTTTTAATCAGAAGCGGCTGGAGACGATTCTGCCGCCAAAATAGGAGAAGAGATAATGATTTATTAACTTTCAAGCTTGTGCAGACAGGTACAAAACCTGTTATTCAGTTGTGTTCATCTATGTACAACCGAGACTGTCTCCGAGGCTCTTCTTCAAGAAGCCAAGACAGGTTCTTGACGCTAACTCTCACACCATACAGTCTCAGGAAGTTTAAGTTGGTAAGTTTTTTCATCAGTCATTTCAGCATTTGTATAACAGAGAAGTTGTAATGTTTTGAGTCTTTGTTTTATAGTGTATACCGGGGAAATTTGTGTGGTTGAATGGTATAGAGAACGCAAGGAAGATAATTCTTGTGGATAGATACGGTGTGAAAAGGGCAACTAGTCTTAAACCTGATAACAACTATGGAAAAATGAGAATGGGAAAAGAGTGGAGAGAGTTCTGTGAAGCTAATGGAGTTAAGGCTGGTGAGTCCTTTAAGGTAGAACTCATCAAGGGGGAAGAAGAAACAGCTACTCATCTACTTAAGTTCTGCACCAAAGTTTGAAACTCTCTGAGTTTGTTTTGTTTATGTAATATCTACTTGCAATGTGTATGTTTTTTTTTGATCTGGTTTGTAACATGCAAGGCTTTAGCAATTTGATCTGATCAAAAGCTTCGTTTAGGCACACAATGGGTTCAAAGTTCAATTAGATCATCATGTTAGCCTGGTTTGATAGACGCCAGTATTTAAGTTAGCTGGTTCCTATGATGTTCACCTCATACTCATCATACTTAAGTATAGAAAAACTTCCAAGTTCCAACAAGATTTGGCTTCATCTCTGTTTCTGCTCTTCACCAAAAGTATTAAGGATAGAAAGTTTACTACACCCTTCATCTTATTTTGCTAAACCGGGAAGGACTAAACCGGGTAAGATCAACACTCGTGGCTACACCATCTACAATAAGCTCAGCTAATGCACACCCAGTGGCTGGACCATTCAGAATCCCCCAACAACTATGCCCTGTGGCTACATAACAACCTTTAATACCCGGAATCTCTCCGATCACAGGGACTCCATCTTCGGTGCTAGGCAAGAAACAAGCTTGCTCTGCTTTCACTTGAGCGTTTTCTTCGTTTAGATAGCTCGAAACTGTTTTAGCTACTCTTTTCAGAACCTCTATGGATTCAGGATTGCTTGTCACCTCATCTGGATCATCAGGTACTTCTTCTTGTGATGACATTCCACATATGTACACTTCCCCTGTGAAAAATAAACACCAAACCAAACCAAACCAAACCAAACCAAACCAATCACTTCTTATCTTTCAAGGTAAGAGATCATCATTTTCATAGTTATACTAAAAATAAATATCATAAATTTGTGATGAAAAAAAAATTAAACTAATCCTCATAAATCATTTATAAATAATTAAGAATTATTCATATAAATACTATACCATGCTGAATGTATTTTTGAAAAATGATATTATTCAGTTTCAAACAATCTTTTTTCTCATATTAAAACCAGACAAAAGAACCAAACCTGTGGGACGAGGATATACTTCAGGGTCCAAAGCTCGACCACCGTCAGAAAGATGATAAGTTAAGAACAGAGCATGAGGTGTTATAGCGTTTGTCTCATTCGGTTCAAGAACAATGCTATGAGCTTTCGTACCAAACACCTTAAAAACCGAAGACAACATCTCTACCTTACCAGACCAAGGTCCCATCGCAAGCACAACCGCGTCAGCTTCCAAAACTCGCCCACCTTCAAGCACAACCGAGTCAACTCGCCCATGTCCTCCCACTCTCACCTCTTCAAACTTCCCAATCACAACCTCCACACCGTACCTCTCCCTCGCCGTCGACAACAGCTTCCTCGTGAAGAGCTGAGGATGCACCTGCGCTGTCGTCTGCGTCGTGCCGATCGTAGATGGGCTTTTAACTGGGCCGTTGACCCAACTCGGTAAACTTAAACCCAAACCTCCCGAGACGGTGCGTTTTGACTCTGTAACCGTTAGGCTAAGAGTGGTTAGAGGTCTGTATCCGTACGATTCGACGCCGTTTAGCTCCTCAGCGAGGGATCGATGGAGTTCGAAGCTGGCACGTGCCAAGGACTCGACCGGACTTCCGTCGCACCAGTCGAGAGCGAGGAAGCCTCCTGCTTTACCGGAGGCGGCGCAGGCGACGGCGGATTTCTCGACGAGAGTGACGGAGATTCCTTTCTTCGAGAGGAAGTAAGCTGTGCAGACGCCGATTACGCCTCCGCCGCATACGACGACGCGCTTCGTGGCTTCTCCCTCGTTCTTCGCCATTGGTTTTGGTGATTTGGAGCAGATCGTGATTGTTCGCGTGTGGCGCTTCAATAACGGCGGAGGGAATGGTAAAGATGTGATCACAGCCATATGGGGTTAGATGAGTCACACGTGTCGACTTTGAGAAAGTTCCTTGTTCTGTTTTTTTTTTTTGCTATTTCACTATACTGTAGATATATTAAAGAAAATGAAAGATTAATGAATTGAATACCATTCCTATTTAATCTTTCTTTTTTTTTTTTTTTTTTTTTT